GGGGGGGATAATTAATTGCCAGGAGGAGCTGTGTCGTCATTTAATTTGTTGTGTTTTTTTTGTTTATTAGTACACAACTTTCTAGACTAAAACATTTTAAAACATGCAAAAGTGGATTTAAGATGAATTTAAGGAGAGTTTAAGACTCTTCCAGGACTTGATGCAAACACAATGTAAGGTGTACTTGTGCACCGAGTTGTCCTGAACGAATCACATTTTGGTTTCTTAGATAAAACGCATCTAAACATCTAAGAACAAGACTCACCACAAACTTCTCCGCCAGCTTGAAGCTGACGAAGTCGAGCCCCTGAGGATGCTGGGAGGTGGAGATGTTCCGCCCCCCCGACACCACGGCGCGTCCCGACAGCAGCTTGTCGATCTTGTCGAAGATTTCTCGGAGCTGCGATCCGGAGTTGCTGGAGATCTGACTGACGGGGATGCTGGCGGCTTTCTGCAGCTCCAGCTTCAGCTTCTTGGTCTTTAAACGCAGAGAAGAGAAATCAAACGTTGAACCGCTGCACTCTCTCTCTCTCCATCACCACAGCAGCGCTTCATGTCAGAGCGGGTTATTGGAGATCAAAAAACATCTGTTCGTCTCAGAGAATGATAATAATTAATAGTGTTTTCTTCATAAAAACACACAATTTAAATAAGGAAATAAACTAAAGTTTTGGTCCGTTACACCACTAGCAGCCCAAATAGATAATAAAGAGCAATGGAGCGATGTTGGTCTGCCACACAGCGGTGGGTAGAGAGCTGAGATGTTGTCTCTGAAGCGGCCTGAAGGACTCAGGTGTTTACTGAAGCTCTCACTCACCTGAGCGTCTTTAGCAGCGTGGAGTTGCTCGAATGACTGAGCGCACTGAGCAGCCGACTGCTGCAGCTCCTTGTACCACTTCAGTGTGCCGTCTTCAGCGCTGTTCTGCAGACCTGTTGGAGGACAAATGTTTTAAGCCGAGCAGCCATCTTTTTCCTTGAAGCGGCTCTCAAAAGATCTCAATCCATCTCTATATTAATAATGATCAGAGTAATGAACTGGACTCACCTTTCCTCTTGGCCTTCTCTTTGGCCGACTCCGCCGCCTTCTTCTGCGCCTCCTGCTGCGCCTGCAGCTGCTCCCGCTGCCTGCGCTGCTCCTCCTCATCCTCGTCCTTCTTCTTCTTCTCTTGAGCCTTGGCGACGTCCTCCTGCATCAGCCGGATCAGAGCCCTCATCTCGTGGAGGGCTCGCTCGGCCACAGTCATGTCATCCACGCTGGGAAACTCTCCCTGGAAAAACACACAGAAACAGGTCACGGAGTCTGATGAGAGGTCTGATCCACATCAGAGATCCGGTCCTAGAGGTTCAAGACTGGATTCATCCTGAACCAGGAAACCCGAGACCAGCTCGGAAGAAAAACAACACGCGTACAATATATATATAAAATACACAAAGCACTCATTATATACTCACCCTGTAGTATTAAAACTGAATCAAATATTTGTATTTAACTTTAACATTCCAGATATTGTGTGCATCGTTTTCACAAAAGTCTGACATATTTAATATCGTCGGAAAAGATATTTCAGATACTTTTTTAAGTTTAATACTTCTCGACTGCACACAAAGAGTTTAAATGATGGAGCAACCAGAGGGTCGAGCTGAGCTGAAGTGTAGATTTAAATAAAAGATTAAAAACTAACATTGTGTACATAAAACTTTCACTTGAACGCCACAAAGACACAAACAATTAGTCGATCGACTGTTCACAGGAAATTATTCCATCATTTCTGCTCTGTCATTCATTATTTATTTATCAGCTTCTCAAATGTGATGATTTGACGCTTTTCTCTGTTTCATAAATGGAATATCTCTCAGATATCAGAGCGATCTGAAGACGTCATCTTTCCCACATTTTCTGACATATTACAGACAAAAGCAAAGAAAACTGTGATGGACTGTTATGAAAAGTTTAGGCGACAATATTGCTGTTGAGCTTTATTTTCTCTTCCAAATAAGTTTGTTTACATCGAGTTATTTGACTTAACCAGACCAAACCAGGGCGTAATAAACAGATTATCTGATAACAATGATTTTCCAGTCAGACTCACCTCTGCCGTCTTGCGCACCACCTCTGACAGCTGGGAGCACAGCTGGTTCCCGCGGGTGCAGTAGGAGCCGAGGTCGGCCCTGGTCCGGGTGGACGGCTCTAGCAGCTGGTTGAGCTGCAGGATCTCCTCCTGGATGGTGTTCAGGTTACGCAGACGCTCGCGGCCGTCCGACTGCCGCTGACGCTCGAGCTCCGCCTCCCGCAGGCGCTGCTGCTCCGCCTCCCTCAGACGCAGGTTGATGATCTGACGCCGAGGACGGAAAATATGTGTTTATACCGAACAACAAAACAACTTGCTGCTAACAGGGGATGTTCAGTTCTCTGATATAAACATGGATGCTTTGACTCATGAATCTAAACTACATCTCTGAAGACTTTTACCCGGTTAGATCAGGTTTTCTATGAGATGCTTGATAAATAGCAGCAGACTTCTTTAGACGATCATACCTTCATCCTGTGTCGCTGCTCTTCCTTCAGCTTCTCTTGACGCCCGATGCTCTCTTTCGTTCTGAAGGAGAGAACAGTGGAGAACCAGAACAGCTTTTAAATTGGCACATAAATAACATTTCACGTTCAGATTCAGATTGGCCATCCTGGTCTTACTCTCGGTCCATCATGTCCCTCATGCTCTGGAACTCCTGCCTCTGCTTCAGCTCCATGAACTCCTCGAAGCGCTTCAGCTGCTCCGACTCGGAGCTCGCCACCACAGCCACCAGCTTCTCGTGCATCTCCTGCCGCAGTTTGAGCGCCAACTGAGGAGACACGTTCAAGACGTCCACCAGGTGAGACTCTTTGTTGTTAATCACGTTCACAGTAAACAGGTTTCATACATACATCAGGACCGGTGTGTATAAATCACGAGAAACGGTCTGAAGTGACATATTCAGCCAAACGTGGGACAAAGAGGGTTTTTAAAAAGAAGCTTACAGTAAATTAACAAGTAACAAACTCTAAGAGTCCAACATTATATATATTTATACAAATATACTGAAACAATAAATCATAAGTCAGTTTAGTTTTCTGTTGATTGATTAATCAATGAGTCCTCTGAAAGATGAAGATGCTCTGATACAAACAGTTTAATGTCCGTCATTTACACTGTCGTATAAAACTCTCTTTGACCTTTTGATCCATCGCTAGATGTTGACTTTCTGTGATAATTAAGAACTCAAATGTCTGACCTTGGCCTTTTCTCGTTTTTTCTCCTCAAACTTGATGATGCGCCCCGCCGTCTCCATGGCTTTGGGCGACAGCAGAGAAATGGAAGGAAGTGAAGCCGGACTGAGAGGCTCGCCGACGTCTTCCTCTGGATCTTCATCCTTCACCTCGTCACCAACGGCCTGCAGCACATCGAGGACAGACGAGAGTCAGAGACACAGACGGGAAGGTGGAAGTAAGAGTTCAAACTGAGTCACAGGAAGTCATAAACAAAGTGTGCAGCAGTTTCAATTTATACGGAAGAAAAGCACAACAACCAGCCTCATAGAAGAGTTTAATATTCCCAGAAAAAAAGAAGCAACGTTCAGGTTCATGAGTTTTTCCAATCTCAATGGAATTGTCTCTTTTAATTCTAACTTTGTAGTCATGTCCTCTGAGTAATGCTCGTCCTTGCAAACCCGAAATGATGTAAAAACTACATCATGCAAAAACAATGAGTTTTAAATATACAAACTACTGTTGTTTTGCTCTCTGAATGACACCACTGAGCTCAACAAAACGCCCACAAATCACACCAAAGTAATTACGTGAACTCTTCCTTTAACCCATCAGAAAACAGTGTAGTTTGAGTAGTTTTTCTTTCCTCTTCACATACAGAAACACTAAGCAGGACGACAGACTTGCCTGCTCACGCTCGGTGCTCAAAGACGGGGCTGCAGAGAGCGCGCTGTGCCTGGCGTTGGCGTCGAGGTCGGGGATGGATCCCGAGAAGGAAACCGAGGCCGAAATCTCACCGGAGAGGCCGGGGCTGGAGCCTCCGGAGCAGGGGCTCAGAAAGCAGGACTTCTGGCGGGGCAAGGAGCTGAGACGCTCCAGTATGAGCCCAGAGCGAGACGACAGACTGACGGCCTCTTTGCAGCCGGCCAAAATATCCTGAAGGAAACACAGACGCATTAAAGTCTCACGTTTACTTCACTTTTCCTTTATTAAAGACGGGATGACTACACACACACTAAGCTCCACTGATTTTATCATATCACACACATTACAAACACACAGCAATACTCAGATCCAGGCTTTTCTTATACTGGTTGAATCACTGCACAGCGGTCACAACAAACCCTTCATGCAAAATAACATCCTTTTGTCAAGAGGACTTTCTACAAACTAACAGCATGAAACAAACATTTAAACACAGAGGACCATCAGTCCCCGGACACAATCAAACTTTTACAAAGTGAGTGGTTAGGTATGGACCCAAATGATGAAGGACACAGTGATTAATTGTGCAGTTCTTGTGGTCACCAATCTAATAATTGTGGTATATATATATA